CGCTATAATAGTATTCAAATGCTTGCTTTCATCTTTCTCAACACCGATTCCATTTACATAACAATATCCAACTTTACGTATTCCTTCAGCGTCACCCATCTCTGCGGCTTTATATAAGTGTATACTTTCAATGAATCTACGCCACATGTGATAAGTTTGTTCTTTCCATGATCGGCCGCCTTCACTTCTAAACATTTCAACTGTTACCAAGATATGATATATACCAAAATCACATGAAACAAACTGGAAAAAAATAAGAAAACCAGGACAGATGTTATAGCTTTAATAGTATTGATAAAGCATTAAAGTATATATTCATCGAATATTCATTTAAATTTTTTAATTGACATCCAGTTATTTAAATAAATAACTGGATTTAACCGATCAGACCTCTAATCACACCTTTATTATAAAATACTTACTCATCTTTAATCTGTTTGATAAGTTGAGATGACCATCCAAGTCCTTCGAAGTATTGAAATTTAAGCCGTGGATCTAGTACAACTGATGCAATATGCAAAACGCTTGTCCTTTGACAATATTCTAGAAGTTTATTAGACGCAGCTTTACACCCTTCCTTAAGCCATACTGGCATATTAGCTTTTTGTCTAGCTTCTTCAAGCGATTCAAGCAACGAATAATAAAGGGGAACGACCAATGACAATGTTGGATATTCTGATGACGACATAAATCTGGTCACTAAATTGGATTAAAGAGTGAGGTAAACATTTTTTTAAATTATATCTCATGTTTAAATACACTGACCATCCTTAAAGGGTAATAAAACTTCAGTAAGAAGTTCTATTTTTTTCCACTCATCTTCGACCAAAATATATTGATGTAACTCTGTTTCAGCATAAGACATAGCACTCAACACTGTACGAAGTTTTAATGCACGCTCACACATATGAAAGGTGGAATTCCACCGCGTTGCCACATCAAGAATTGGCTTTAACGTATTAGAAAGCTTTAACTGTTTGCGGCACCTTCGTGATCCTCTAATACTTTTTATTAACCCACGTAACTAAAAGTAATGTGAGTAAAAACAAAACTATAAATATGGGCTTCACAGGGATCTTACTCAGAATCAACATTTTAATACACTTCGATCTATTACAGAATACTGTAGCACGATAATCACAAATCATTAAAATTTTAGTATAATGATAATGACCTTTTCTACCTCATTTCCTACATTCTTTAAAATACACTGGACAGCAAGATTTAAAATATGATCAAAGCACCGTATTGATTGCTGCGTATGATCAAACCTAAAACCAATCATTAGTATAGAACGAGAAAAATCACGCAAAAACTTTATATTGGCAGATGCATTATCACAGGTTATTGACATTAATTTCGATAAGATTCTATTTTTTTGAAGACAATCTTCCATAGCCTTCGCAATTTCAACACCTGTATGTGAATCCTCCATAAAAATAAAATCAAGCAGAATATTTTTTATTTCCCATGATTGATTTAGATAATGAATCGTGACAGCCATGAATGATTTTTCATTAGTAGAGGTAGTCCAAATATCGGTTGTTATCGCGATACGTCCAGGAATTTCCTGCAATTTTTTTTGAAGTCGTTCACGCTCTCCCTCAAAATCGTTCATAATGTGTCGTTTAATTAGGTCGGCAGAAGGTACTAAAAAAAAAAAACTTAAGTATTTTTATTTTACCATAATATTAATACATTAAATATACTATCTAATGCTATTATTACCAACTGAAGTAGGTTCTAGGTAAGTAAATATAGACCTAAGCTCGTCGTCTTCGACGATTTGAAATGATCGATTATGTTTTATGATCTACCTTTTTATCATGCCAGTAAGTTTTTGCTGACTGAAGGGTTCACGTTGACAGGCTTGATTACTTATCATTTCCAAAACACTAACACCCCTCTTTACATTTGATTCCACTAGTTCAGGCACCTTATGCCTTCTGAGATGTCTTAGAAGATTTGACGTTGTGCCATTGCTATAGACCAGCGGCTTTTTACAAAGGTTACACGTGGCACTGCCTTTCGCTTTTTTAAAATATTTCCATACTATGGATCTATAAAATAAATCAAGAATAAATTAAAATTCAATAAATAAATAAGTTAATAAATAAAGTAAAGCTTTGCATATATTACCCATCATTCGAAGAGGTTTCATCACAAGTTGGTTCTGCTTGGGGTGATGATTCGATTGGACGGGATTCGTCTTGTTGTAGTTCATCTTGACATAATTCATCAGGGTTTGATTCATCTTGGGATGATTCATTTTGATATGATTCATCTTGGTCCAGGTACAAATCATCCGAGTAAAAACTACCATGGTACTGGAGTGACGACTCACGTTCTTCAGATTCATCTTGAAAATGTGATTCGGTTGACATTGAGGAAATTTAAAGCGCAAGATAAAGGAAAAAAAAATGGCAACTTCCTCTAAATTGCAATAAAAGAATAAAAAAAAAAGGCATCTAAACGCCAAGTATTTATTTTTTTAAAATTTTTTTTTTTTTTTGTTTTTAAGTGCAGGCTTTTTCTTGAAAAAAAAAAACCCCCCATAATAAGAGTAAAAGTTTTTTTCATACGAGCCTTCACAAGCTTTTTCTCAGCTTTTTCTCATGCTTTTCTTACGCCTTTCTAAAAAGAAAAAGCGCAAGTTTTAAAGGTTTAAAATGCAGGTTTATGTGTAGGCTTTTGCTAAATATAGGTCTCCTTTTTTTTTTACGTATTGTTATCGTTATTGTTTAATCGCATTATAGTCTTTATATTGTGACCCAAATGCAAATGGATCCTTTGTTCGTTCTGGCCGTTCTAGCCCAATAAAGCTTGGTTTAATCAATATAATTGGCGTTATTCAAAGCAAATTCGTTTCGTTTTATGCACTTAAAAAAAAAAGCCAGCCAATCAGCGTACGATATTTAATAAACCGGGCGGATCGGGTATTACCCGGGCAGATCTTCATGTGGGTCCGAAACCGTATCGATTCTTATAAATCATGGGTCCGAACTCGGTCCGTCAACGGACCGGACTGGACCCGGACCGGACCCGGATCTTTTGCGGAACACTACTGGAGGGTATAAAGTTGTTCCAATCAAGCAATGTTAACTTTGTATCTACATTTTTTTAGAAGGTCCTCCTGGTGCTCCTGCCCCTCCTGGTACTCCTGCCCCTTCTAGTGCTCCTCCCAGTGTCCCGGCTGCTTCTGGTGCCCCTGCCGCTCCTGGAGCTCCGGCCGCGACCTCTCAACCCATCCCTCATCCAGCTTCTTCATCCGCAGCTCCTCCTAATACCACTCCCGCCCAACCAACTTCTTCTCCAGAACAATCATCTTCATCTAATGTTGTAATTTATATTGGTATTGCTTTAGGTGGTATTGTAGTTGGTATTGTAGTTGGTGCAATCCTTTCTTTTGTTGGATATCATGTATATAAAAAACATCAAGATTCAAATTTTATTCCAACACCTAGCAGTGCTGATCTATAATAAACTTTAAGATTCTTATTTTTTAAAAAATTCTTTACTACTGTATTTTGATCATTTATGTATTTTAACATCCATAAAAACTATTGCTACGTACTTTTTAATATGTAATTTTATTAATGATAAACTAAAATATTCTCAAATATATTACAGTCAGGCTTCCCTAAGTGCAACTCGTCGGAATAAATCTTTTGATACATATACTTAGAGAACAATAAAAAAATTGCGTTTATGAGAGTTAGAAATATAGTTGGACCAGAGCTTGAGGCTGCATTTAGGGAGATTGCGTTTAAGGAGGGTCTGAATGATAGATACTGTTTACCTTATTTAGCATTTATGAGGTTACATAACCATTTATGCAAGAATGTCACAGGAAAAAACATCAACTGGTCATATATAACTGCCGGATAACATCAATATTGTATACTTATCGTTTAACAAGCGCTAATTCATTTGAAAGCAAAAAAAAAAACTTGAACATGATACTTAAATGAAGTATATAAAAATTTAGTAGTTATATCATTTACGTATATTATTTTCATGATTTATGTCCTACTTTTATTATGAAAAAAGTTTACCAGTGATGAATTGTGATTATTAAAGCTAATTTTAGGTCAAGCCATTTCAGCACTTTAAAAATTGTTTATTTTCTTTAAGACAATTAAAAAGAGTTACTCCTAGAGTTTGGGGCTATTTACGCTTCGTCTAAAGCGGTGCACCTCAGGAATCAAATCTAGAATTCGCCGTGAACAATTGTAGAATGAATATACGCTCACTCCACTACTTTAATGAATAATATTCAAAAGTCAGTTTTGATTTGTTAATGAATTATTCAAAAGTCAGTTTGATTTTTAAACGAACGAATATTCAATCTATATAATCTCATCTAAACTCTAAGTTTATAATAAATTACTCTTTATTTATATTATTTATGTAAAGCTCACTCGCACATATTAACCTTATACCATCTCGCAGATTGAACTATATTGAATAATGACTTATATCGCAGTTTAAATCGAAATATACTATGATAATATGGTGATAATACATTCCATCCTACAAGACTCAAGACGTCGCCGATTTGTTACCTCACTCATATCAATTTTCTAAATATTCTAATAACTAATATTTTAATTCATTTCTTATTTGTAAATTTGGTTATAAATATTTTAGGTTGTTCTTAAAATATTGATATTTTAAACAATATTTGCAACAGTTGAAATGTTTAGAAGTGAAGGCGGCCGATCATGGAAAGAACAAACTTATCACATGTGGTGTAGATTCATTGAAAGTATACACTTATATAAAGCCGCAGAGATGGGTGATGCTAAAGGAATATGTAAAGTTGGATATTGTTATGTAAATGGAATCGGTGTTGAGAAAGATGAAAGCAAGCATTTGAATACTATTATAGCG